CACTGGGTGTTCTTGTTCTTGTGTTTCTAATATGTCTCTGTCCTCATTATTGTATTTTTCTTTTTTGGAGGAAAGGTGCTTAATAGCTCATCTGCAACTATTGTGATCTATCTGTACTATTTTAACTCCTGTCTAAATCCTTTGATTTATGCTATGTTCTACCCCTGGTTTAGAAAAGCTGTGAAACTAATTGTCACACTACAGATACTGCAGCCTGGCTCCTGTGAGGTCAGCATACTGTAGAAGAAAGAAATAACCTTTAAAAATATGTTTATGGGCAAAACTAAACAAGCAGAAGATAAAATCTTTTCTGTCGCTTTAAGAGAACTTATGATAGAGATTGCAAATTATCACTCACTATATTAATAAAAGGGCAAGGTACTACAGCTTTCTGAAAAATCCACATTCCTTTATTAGACAAGTTGCAAAATACCTTGGCTTATCTTAGAACCATATTGTAGACTGTATATTTGATATATTAATAACAAATTAAAATGTAATATTTTAATTGTTATATAAATTGCATTACATTTGAGTTGTACAGTATAATATTAACCTAGTTTTATTGAGAATCAAAAGTTGCACTGAATTCAAAATAGGCCCCAAACTACAAGTTTCTATTTATAATTACTGTAAAGTACTAAAAATACTCTCAGTTTTGCCCAAGTTTAGTTGAATACAACTAAACTGACATGGGCAAGTGTATGAAAGCATCAGGAGGATTTGAACTGTAAACTGAAACAGAGCTGCAGACACCGAGACAGAGCATAAACATGTCATATTCTGAAATCACTGCCCACTGGTGAGCAAAACAGTTAGCCCTAAAACTTAAAACCAACATGACAAAAACCTCAATGTTCTTAGATGATTCAAAAGTGCCCCATTTCACAAAAAACTGGCACAATTTTAAAGCTGTAGGGTATACTAATTAAAACAGTTTAAAGGTAGGACATTAAAAATAGGTTTCACATGGGGGCATCCAAGTATAACATACAAATTAGTTAGTATAATAAACAATTATGTATAGTGTTTATGATTTAGTTTTGTCTGTCTTTGTCTATTTGAGAATTATAGTGGTTTAAATGTTGTGGAGGGTATGGAAGCACAAGCACCACTTGCTGAAATGCAGTTCAAAACAATGTTTTACAGATCGTTCTAGACACTCACTGTTGTGCCTCTCTTCTTACCTTCTTCAATCCGAATTTTCATATTTATGTGTCACAATGAATGTTCTAGAAGAAGATTTTATAGCACATAGATAATATGATCAAATTTTTCCATCCATTATTAATCATGAATTGAATTCTGTGAAGAAATAGGAGATATATAGGAATTTAACACCATGCTTTGTAAATCTCCAAAAGTTGATTCTGTTCATCTGGACGTAGCGTTTTCAGTGGGAGAAACGTTTCATCACTCATCCAAGTGACTTCTTCAGTCTCAGCTGACTGCAGGTTTCCCCAATCTTATAAACAGTACATTTGCATAATGACTGAAACCAGCCCACTGAAGGAACAATGGGCTGGGAGGTCAGTTCCTTCATCATAATTGTGCAAATTCTCATGACCATTGACCAACAACCACTGATCAAAGCCCACTGATCAAGTTGGGGAATGGCTGCAATCACAGCGTTGTACGATGGCGAAAGATGTACCCTTAGGCCCCCTCCTCGATTCAGAGATGGTCTTTCCCTTTTCACCTAAATGGCCTCCTTGACTCAAACCAGCGTTCCTCTCTGTCCAAGATGTGTACATCCTCATCATTGAAAGAGTGTCCACTGGCCTGTAGGTGTAAGTAGACTGCAGACTACTGGCCTGACGAGGTAGCTCTTCTGTGCTGTGCCATCCGCTTCGCAGGAGGTTGTTTGGTTTCCCCAATGTATAGTCCTGGCAATCCTCCTGGCACTTAACAGCGTACACTATGTCCCTCTGTTTGTGTCGGGATCCCAATCCTTGGGCTGGATTAATTTTTGGCGCAGTGTGTTTTGGGGTTTAAAAACCACAGAGACACTGTGTTTAGAAAAAATGCATCTCAACTGTTCTGATACCCCTGACACATATGGGATCACTACAGGTTTTAGGCAGCAGTTGTCCTTCTCTCTGGGATCGGCTGGAAAAGAGAGCTCCAGGGTAGCTTCAGAATCAACTTTTGGAGATTTACATACCTGGATGATTGGACCTGGGCCACGTAGACTGAACGCTGAGTCCTCAGGAGGATGCAGCCTATGAATTTGGACACCCCACTGGAATCAAAAGAAAAAACATACTCCAAGCACCAAAACCATCATGGACTATTAAACTGCCCTGAACACAATTAATTAATAACAATTAACCACTGATCTCTGTGCTCTCCACTGTTTTTAAACATGCAATGTGTTAATATACAAAAACATACAAAAGTCTTCAGCTCTAAGCTATTTCAATAAAACCCCACAAATAATGGTAGCCACACGCATGTAAGGACCTCAGACCAGCAGCCTGAAATCCACACTGACACAGAAACAGCCTGGCGATCTGTTAACTGAAGCAAAGCATAAATATATTAGATGAACAAGTTACTTCGGAGTGACTATCTTTCCCAGTTTACTCTACTCTTTTTGTAGGCTGTCTCCATAATAGGGTCCCACCCTAACAGGTATCATGAGAAGAGTTGGGAGGGGCCACTATGATGATCTAACTGGAGTGAACCATAAAGCCTTCTCTTACATGTCAAAAAGTTCAAACACACCACTGCTCTGCACGAAGCTCCAAGTTCAAACAAAATACCCCCTACTTTCTTCTACCTGTGCTAGTAAAGAGAAAAGAAGAACCCAACCCTGCCTAAAAGGGGCGTTACTAAGACTCAAGTTTCACCTTTCAAAATGTTTTTTGCATTGGTGTCCTGTCAATCGCCTGGTAACCATACTCATTGTGAAACAAGACCTTATCCCTAAGGCTCTGAGAGAGTACTAATTGCTGTATTGGCGCACCACCATCTGGCTGCAAATTAAGGCATCTGGAAGAAGGGTACCAGAAAGCAAGCTGTCAATATGTGCCATTGAGGCAGATGACTGACAATAGCAGGAGAGAGGATCCATATTACCATTGACCCAACCTGGATGATATTTAATTAAAAGGTTAAAGGAGGATATTTGAGCAGCTCAGCATTGTTTCAAACCTTCAAGGTTTGCTGTGGTCTGAAAGCTCTAGGGATCGTTAACTTTGTGAAGACCACATTTGTGAACCAGCATATACCCTCTGAACTTTTCGCCCATTGTAAAGTTAGGAACTCAAGTTTCCTGGAGCTGTAATTTGACATTTTGCATTCAGTGGGCTTTAATCGTCAGCTAGCATAAGCTATAGAACGTACCCTATCATCTGAATACTGCTGTGAAAGCGGGGCACCCAAACAACAGTAACGAACATCAACCTTCAAAATGAAGGGTTGTGAAACATTGGCATAAGCTAAAACTAGTACTAATACTACTAAGGATGCAAAGGGATAGCAATCACTTTACTCTCCAAAAGCTGTTAAATATGTGCCTTGACTTCTTTTTTTCTTTCAGTAAACTGAGTTGACAAGGAGGTTCCTTCACACATAGCTCTGCACAAAACAAGTCATTGCAGAGCTATGACTTATCTTCCCCTCTGATGTTGATGGGATCAAAGGATGTGCCTCTGGATAAATAATGTTTAAAAATGTTAAAACAAAGAAATCCTTGACCAAATCCTTGAAATTCCTTTCTTGGGCCTGCTGTTATCTCCTGTTTGCTGCCATCCATGGCTGTTGGTGGCTGTAGGTCAGGTCAGCCACTAATCTGAAGGTCAGTGGTTCGATCCCAGGCTGCCTCCTGGCAGCATGCCAAATATCCTTGGGCAAGATACTAACCCCATGTTTGCCTACTGGTGGTGGTCAGAGGGCCCTAACAGGGGCCCTCGCCTCTGTCAGTGTGCCCCAGGGCAGCTGTGGCTACAATGTAGCTTGCCCTCGCCTGTGTGTGAATGGGTGAATGACTGAATGTAGTGTGAAGTGCTTTGGGGTCCTTAGGGACTAGAAAAGCGCTATACAAATACAAGCCATTTACCATTTGTTACTGAAACTTTTTTTTCAGTGGATCTAACATGTGTAGATTCGCATTCCACAAATAAACTTTCATGATGTGAAAATGTAATTAAACTGTTGATCAGAGGAAAATTACTTAAAAAGTTTTAGGATGTTAAAACTTACAACATCTAGCTAGCTTGTAATGTTATGTTGTTGCATAGCCATTTCTTGTCATCTGTCCAGGGATGGGGGGTTGCATGATGATAACTTAATTGCGACAATAAAGAGATTAAATTAAGTTTGAACCTGGAGGATTTATTTGGTTAAAACACTAACTACAGTTCAGGAGTGATGATTAAGTTGAGGGGGAAAAGGATGAGATGGATATGAGCAGGCAAGAGTAGAAATAGAAGAGGTGGATGAACAAGATGGAAAAGAAAAAACTATGAAAGGATAAATATAAAACTTTTAAATGGTCAAATACCGTTTGAAACAGATACTTTAAGTGACATAATTGTTATACTGTTATACTATTTATGCAATGCCTATTGTTTTTTTTCTCGGGTACTTATATCTGAAACAACAAGAAAGTGATTAAAAAAAAGACTTGCTTTCTGTCTATGATGATTGCTGCAGCCAACCATGCACAAGAATGTAGGTATTGTGAGGGGAAAAATAAATAGTGGCAATTTCTATGTAAACTACCAATTATCTCGTCCAATATGATGGGAAGCTCTTGAACGACATCCTCATGACATCACATGCCAAACTCCAAGAAAGAGGGATGAGGACAGGCAGACAGTGAGATAGATATGGTTATCATCAAAAATTAATTAACATATTGGCACAAGGGAAGGGAAGAGGGGCATCAGTATCCAACAGACACTGAGAGAATGATAAGGGGAGGAGTTTAAAGAAGGTGTGGGGATATTACTAATTCTGGTCACAATGCTGCAGCTCTCTGCAGGTCTGTGAAGATGGATACCCAGGGCAGAGCAGATCTCTGCTTTCCACAACTCTTCAACACCTCCTGCAAGAAGCCTACAACTCCTCTATCACAAGTTTTGCTCTTTCACATTCTGATGCCATCAATGTCTCTGCTAACTGTGACTCTCAACCTGCTCGTCATCATCGCAGTCTCCCACTTCAGGCAGAGTTTCACTTTTTTTACCTGCTGCTGTGGCCTTACAAGTCTATACCTGATTTGTAATACCTGTTTGAATAGTTTCTTTCTGTTGACTTTTTAAAATTACATTTTCCTGTCTTTCTAGGCAGCTCCACTCACCCACTAACATCCTGCTCGTCTCTCTGGCTGTCGCTGACTTTCTCACTGGTCTTCTGTTTATGCCTGGAGAAATCCTGCGAAATACAGAGTGTTGGTTTCTTGGTCAGCTCACATGTTCTCTGTATAATTATGTATCCTACATCATTGCCTCTGCCTCAGTGGGCAACATGGTGCTGATATCAGTGGACCGCTATGTGGCTATTTGTGACCCTCTGCATTACCCCACCAGAATCACAAAGAGAAGAGTGAAACTCTGTGTCTGTCTGTGTTGGCTCTGCTCTGTTTTCTACAGCTATGTGATTTTAATAGATGATCTAAGTCAACCAGGAAAGCATAACTCTTGCTTTGGAGAATGTATAATTTTTGTTGAATTCATTGCAGGATTTGTTGACCTTGTTTTATCCTTTATTATTCCACTTACTGTCATTGTATTTCTGTATATGAGAGTATTTGTGGTGGCTGTGTCTCAGGCCCGTGCCATGCGCTCTCAGGTTACAGCTGTCACACTGCAGCTCTCAGTGACTCTAACAGCAA